AAATGCATATATATATATATATATATATACACACACACACACACACAGTTGAAATCAGCATTTTTAGCCCCCCTTTGAATGCTTTTAAATATTTCCCAAATGACGTTGAACAGATTCAGGAAATGTTCACAGTATTTCCTCCAATATTTTTTCTTCTGGAGAAAGTCTCATTTGTTTTATTTCAGCTAGAATAAAAGCAGTTTTTAATTGTTGAAAACCATTTTAAGCTCAATATTATTAGCCCCTTTAAGCAATATGTTTTTTCGATTGTCTCCAGAACAAACCACTGTTATACAATGACTTGCCTAATTACCCTAACTTTACCCTGATTACCCTAGTGAAGCCTTTACATGTCACTGTAAGCTGAACACTAGTGTCTTGAAGAATATCTAGTCTAATATGATGTGCTGTCATCATAGCAAAGATAAAATAAATCAGTTATTAGAGATGAGTTATTAACACTATTTCATGCAGAAATGTGTTGAAAATCTCTCCTTTAAACAGATATTGGGGAAAAAATAAACAGAGGCGATTAATTCTGACTTTACTGTGCGTGTATATTAATATTCACTTTCTTTTCGGCTTAGTCCCTTTATTAATCCGGGGTCGCCACAGCGGAATGAACCGCCAACTTATCCAGCATGTTTTTACGCAGCGGATGCCCTTCCAGCCGCAACCCATCTCTGGGAAAATGTATAGAAATATATTAAAGTTAAATAAATCTTGCCAAATAAAACAACTAAAATAAAAATCACATAAAAAACTAACAAAAGATGTTTTTAATAAGAAAATCAGATGAAAACGTGAAGTACAAAAAAACTGGTTAAATAATTTGCTAAAATCAAAATTTAAATAAAAACTCAAAATGTTGAGATTTATCTAGTTTAGAAATGTTTCTCATTTGACATGATGCAAAATAACTAAATAAAATAACTGAAGCAATAATGATGAAAAGAACTCGCCAAATAAAACAAACCAACATAAAAATCAAATAAAAACCAATGAAGAGGATTTAATACATAAACAAATTTAATAAATTAATAAATAAATAAAATAAATTAATTAATTAATTAAATAAATTAAATAAATAAATGCAAAACGTTTAAGTTAAATACAATTGCTAGAAATAAAATTGTGTGATAAAATATTTAAAAATAATGAATAACATATCAGATTGTGTGTGTGCGTGTTTGTGTGTGTGTGTGTGTGTGTGTGTGTGTGTGTGTGTGTGTGTGTGTGTGTGTGTGTGTGTGTATGTGTGTGTGTGTGTGAGAGAGAGAGAGTGGTGCAGTTGTATTTCTACTGTATCTGCAGGTGTGTGTTTGTGATTGTGTGTGTGCATAACGTTTTAAATAGATATCATCACTTTTTAGCAGATGTATAGCAGTTGTTTTCCTGCTGTATCTGCATGTGTGTGTGCGCGCGAGAGAGAGTGTGTGTGTTTGTGTGTGTAACTTTTTAATGGGTAACAGTTTTTGTAGTAGATGCAGTTGAATATCTGTTGTGTCCACCTTTTTTAATAGATGACTTTTAGCTTTTAGTAAATGTGTTGCAGCTGTATTTCTGCTGTATCGGCACGTGTGTGTGTGTGTGTGTGTGTGTGTGTGTGTGTGTGTGTGTGTGTGTGTAGTGTGTAGTGTGTATAAGTGTGTGTGGGTCAGGTCAGGGCAGAAGGCAGTGTTAAACAGCTCTGTCACAGTGAACAGAGTGTGTTTTACTGCAGTACACAGAAGCACAGCAGGAAACACACACACTCGTGCGCTGATGTCCGGATGCAGCCTGATGACCCCCTGCTTGCCGCTGACCTCTGACCTCTCCCTGCTGCAGGTGCCGACCCCTCTCTGAAGAACGATCTGGGCCACACGCCGCTGAGTTACGCTCGAGACGGAGAGCTGAGCGCAGTGCTGAGGGACGCACAGGACACGGTGAACACACACACACACTTATATACAGTACATACAACTCACACATAAACATGCACATAATCGCATAAAAACACACACTTTATATACACACTCATACAAACACACATAATACAAAAGTCAGCTACTCATTTCAGCTTGATGTAAAATAATAAATAACAGCATGCAAATGAAAAGTTAGATTTTATATCATTTGTGTGTGTGTGTGTGTGTGTGTGTGTGTGTATTAAATATATTCTAAATATAATATTTACATTTATACAATATTATACAAATATATACACTCACTGGCCACTTTATTAGGTACACTTTACTAGTACCGGGTCGGACCCCTTTTGCCTTCAGATCTGCTTAATCCTTGGTGTCAGAGATTCAACAAGTTGCTGGAAATATTCCTCAGAGATTTTGCTCCATATTGTCATGATAGCATCACACAGTTGCTGCAGATTTGTCGGCTGCACATCCATGATGCCAATCTCCCGTTCCACCACATCCCAAAGCTGCTCTATTGGATTGAGCTCTGCTGACTGTGGAGGCCATTTGAGTACAGTGAACTCATCGTCATGTTCAAGAAACCAGTCTGAGATGATTGAGCTTCATGACATGCTGCGTTATCCTGCTGGAAGTAGCCATCAGAAGATGGAGACACTGTGCTCATAAAGGGATGGACATGGTCAGCAGCAATACTCAGGTAGGCTGTGGCGTTGATGCTCAATTGGTACTAATGGACCCAAAGAAAATCTCCCCCACACCATTACACCACCACCACCAGCCTGAACCGCTGATACAAGGCAGGATGATCCATGCTTTCATGTTGTCTGAGCCGAGCATCTGAATGTGTGAGCAGAAATGGAGACTCATCAGAGCAGCAACGTTTCTCCAATCTTCTATTGTCCAGTTTTGGTGAGTCTGTGTGAATTGTAGCCTCAGTTTCCTGTTCTTAGCTGACAGGAGCGGCACCCGGTGTGCTCTTCTGCTGCTGTAGCCCATCCGCCTCAAGGTTGGCCGTGTTGTGTGTTCAGAGATGCTCTTCTGCAGAGCTCGGTTGTAGCGAGTGCTTATTTGAGTTACTGTTGCCTTTCTATCAGCTGGAACCAGTCTGGCCATTCTCCTCTGACCTCTGGCCTCATCAACAAGGCATTTGCGCCCACAGAACTGCCGCTCACTGGATATTTCCTCTTTGTCTGAGCATTCTCTGTAAACCCTAGAGATGGTTGTGCGTGAAAATCCCAGTAGATCAGCAGTTTCTGAAATACTCAGAGCAGCCCGTCTGGCAGCAACAACCATGCTACGTTCAAAGTCTCTTAAATCCTCTTTCTTCCCCATTCTGATGCTCACTCTGACCTGCAGCAGATCCTCTTGATCATGTCTACATGCCGAAATGCAGTGAGCTGCTGCCATGTGATTGGCTGATTAGACATTTGCGTTAACGAGCAGTTGGACAGGTGTACCTAATAAAGTGGCCGGTGAGTGTATAATAATTTTTTAAAGCAGGGTTCAAAAATAAGGATGGTCCAATATGCATGCAAAGGCGATTTTAGAATTGAGAAGCAACCCGACTGACAAACTTTGGAAAACTGCTAGCCACAGTGACTGGTGATCAAAAAAGTTAATGTCCACCCCTGATTTCCTGCATAGTAAATAATCACGGTACACACACCTACTGTAAATCATGTCAAAATACACCGTTTTATTTGTGATTAAGCACAATTAATCTTTTACGGCACAAAAAAAGAAAAACTAAAGCTCCAATAACAAATAAAACTTGCCAGTTTTTTTAAATGCCCACAAATAAAAGCTTCATCTTAAACTCAGCTTAAACTTCCCCTTAACTGTTTATAAACCTTCCTTAGTTTCTTTTTTCCCCGTTAAACACAGAAGATGTTACTGTAACCATAGACATCCATAATAGGAAAAACAGATCGTATGAAAAGTCAATGGTTACAGGTTTTCAGCATTCTTCAAAGTATCTTCTTTTGTGTTCAACAGAAGAAAGTAACTCATAAAGGAACGTGATTACTGTAAATATTCTGAGTAATAGTGCTTAACAGTGTTTAGCTTAAGCAGAGAGCAGATCAGCAGGTGTGTGTGTGTGTGTGTGTGTGTGTGTGTGTGTGTGTGTGTGTGTTTGTGTGTGTGTTTATCTTGCTGTAATCTCCTCATTGGCTCTGGATTACAGCCGTAATCTACACTAATCCTACTGGAGGGTTAATGAGCTGCAGGTGAAGCTGTCAGTATCCTGTATCACTGTTTACGCGCACACACACACACACACACACACACCTGCTGATCAGGTGTCGACTGTTGACAGCACAGATAACGCTCAGGCAATAGCCGTGTTTCCATTCAAAGATGCATATTAAGATATAGCAAATATTGCTACTCATTTCTTTTAAAAGGGCATCACGGTGGCCTCACAACAAGAAAGTCTTTGGTTCAAGCCTCGGCTGGGTCATTTGGCGTTTCTGTGTGGAGTTTGCATGTTCTCTACATGTTGGAAGTTTCCCAGTACTGAGTTGCGGCTGTAAGTAAAAAATATGCTGCAATAGTTAGCGGTTCATTCCGCTGTGGCGACACCAGATTATCAAAGGGACTAAGCAGAAGGAAAATGAATAAATGAATGTCACTCTGTGTGTCAGTAGTTTATTACTGTTGTTTACTGTGTGTCAGTAGTTTATTACTGTTGTTTACTGTGTGTCAGTAGTTTATTACTGTAGTTTACTGTGTGTCAGTAGTTTATTACTGTTGTTTACTGTGTGTCAGTAGTTTATTACTGTTGTTTACTGTGTGTCAGTAGTTTATTACTGCTGTTTACTGTGTGTCAGTAGTTTATTACTGTTGTTTACTGTGTGTCAGTAGTTTATAACTGTTGTTTACTGTGTGTCAGTAGTTTATTACTGTAGTTTACTGTGTGTCAGTAGTTTATTACTGTTGTTTACTGTGTGTCAGTAGTTTATTACTGTTGTTTACTGTGTGTCAGTAGTTTATAACTGTTGTTTACTGTGTGTCAGTAGTTTATTACTGTTGTTTACTGTGTGTCAGTAGTTTATTACTGTTGTTTACTGTGTGTCAGTAGTT